AAGACTTGAAACCATAAAATACATAGAAGGAAATATAGGCGAAACACTACGTGATATTCACCTCAAAGACATCTTTACAGACACATCACCCAAAGCAGTGATAGTGAAGGCAAAGATAAACAGCTGGGACTACATCAAATTAAAGAGCTTCTGCACAGCAAAAGAGACAATAACCAAAACAAAGAGAAACCCCACCGACTGGGAAAACATTTTTGCACACAACACTAATGATAAAGGACTGATCACAAAAATCTGCAAAGAGCTGATGAGACTCAACAACAACAAAGAAAATAATCCCGTCAAAAAATTGGCAGAAGAGCTAAAAAGAAACTTCTCTGAAGAGGAAATGCATATGGCCAACAGGCATATGAAAAAATGTTCAACATCACTTGTCATCAGGGAAATGCAAATCAAAACTACCATGAGATACCATCTTACATCAGTGAGAATGGCACATATTAAAAAAACTAGCAACAACAAATGTTGGCGAGGGTGTGGAGAAAAAGGAACTCTTCTGCACTGTTGGTGCAGAAATAAGCCAGAAAGAAAAAGAAAAATACCGGATGGTCTCACTCATAGCAGGAATCTAGAAAACTTAAATAAGGGACCAGGAAAATGAATAACTATAAGAAAGTGAAAATCAAAATCAACAAAAATCTATGAACCAGAGATACTTTTTGGGGGGTGGGGGCGGGAGGGGAGGGATTGGGGTCAGAATGGGGGGGTTGCAATTGTATGGGGAATATAAAAATAAAATTTATTATTTAAAAAAATATATGGAATTGTGCACACAATTAAAATTCATACTTTTAGATACACTTGAAATAGTTACCAAACATTATCATATACCAGATCCTAACAATTGTCAACAATTTCAAAGAATAAGTATCATCCCACATTTTCTGACTACAAAAACTGGAAGTTAAAAATTAATTACAAAAAAGATTTTAAAATGTGCACTTAGGTTTTAAAAAACACTTCTAAATGACATATAGTCATTTATAATGAATGGTGCTGGAAAAACTGGTTATCTAGTTGGGACAAAAATAAAATTGAACCCAAATTTCATACCATTTACAAAAAAAAATCATTCTGGATAAGAATTAAATATTTAAAACTTAAAATATAACATATCAGGGCCTCCCTGGTGGCGCAAGGGGTTAAGCACAGCACTGTGAAGTGATCTGCAGCAAGAGTTTGATCCCCAGCCAGAGAGCTGAACTACATGGTGCAGCAGACCTCTCTTGTCTTACCCGCTGCTCCCCTCAGCAGTGTATTTCAGTAGATCTGCCTGTTCTGCTCCCTACTCTGTCTCTGGTGAATCCTCTCACACCCTGCACCTCTGGCCTGTACCTGGGTTCTTGTATGCATAAATAAATAATTTTTTTTAAAAAAAAAGATAACATATCAAAATATATTTATGACATTGGCATAGAAAAAGACTAAACAAGAAAACAAAAAACACTAACCATAAAAGAAAAGAATTGATAAATTAAAATTTAGACTTCAGTTTATCAAAATACCATAAAAGAGGTGAAAGTACACAATAAGAGAAGACACAAATAGAGGGAAATATTTGTAACATTAGTACTACTGACAAAATAGAAGTATCCACAATATACAGATACCTAAAAGTCAATAAGAAAACAACTCTAAACAAAAATACATGAACAGTTTTTTACTGGGGAAATACAAATGGGAAATAAGCATATGAAAAGATACTTAAACTCCTTAATGAATTGGGAAGTACAAATTAATACCACAATAAGCTATTGTTTTCTAACCTCTAAATGGACAAAATAAAGACATCCGAATTGCCAAGTGTTGGCGAAAACGTTGAGCTACAGGAACTCAAGTTCTATGCACAGCTCGCTGGTGAGAGTCTAAACTTGTTCAACAGCTTTAGAAAATAATTCAGCATTGCCTTATCAAGTTCAATATTCATAAGATACAATATGACCCAACAGTTTCACACCTAGATGTATATCTCAGGTTCTTTTTCATCTGTGACCCAGAAGACTTGTACAATAAATGTGTATGCATTTGCAGAGTGCAGCAGTAGTGGACTATGCCTAGATATAACAGTGTGGACAAAGCCCACAAACACAATATGGGGCAAACAAGGAAAATCACACCCTGTCAGCAAAAACAAAACTCTCTCCTCTCCCCTCATATTTCCCCTCCCTACTCTCCCTTGAGTACACATGCTCTGTGTCTCATGAGAGATTTTTTTTCCTTCTTCTATTCTGCTCACACTTAAAAGTTCATCTCCACCCTGTTCTTAATGTTCTAAGATCTTAAACTTGGAGCTGAATACAGAAATATTCGTTCAGTTACTCTTTACACCTTGCTGTATGTCTATCTCTACCAACCTATCTGTCAGATCATGCATATGTTGTAAAACTTTTTAATGCACACGCATCGACATAAACACTAATTTCAGATTGTGGTCATCTTAAGCAAGAGCATGGGAGATTGAAGCAACAGGACACTCACACATACCTGCAATGTCACTGACCATTTGGAGGGGTGGGGATCACAGGAGTCGTGTTTTGCTTTACATATTCACTGCACATATTAAGAATCAAAAGTTGCACGATATAAGAATATAAAGAATATTTAAGGACAGGATAATGTTATAATGCAAAAGGAATGAAACAGAATATAGAACTTTGCATATAGTATGTATCTGTTTCATTTTAAAACACACAATTCAGGGCCTCCCTGGTGGTGCAAGGGGTTAAGCACCGCACTATGAAACAACCCACAGCCACTGCAGCACAAGTTCTATCCCTGGCCGGCCAGAGAAAAACCCACATGGCAAAGCAGACCTCTCCTGTCTCATCCGCTGCTACCCTCAGCAGCTTATTTCAGTCAGTCTGCCTGTTCTGTTCCCTGCTTTGTCTCTGGTGAATTCTCTCACCCCCCCCCCATCTCTGGCCTGTACCCCAGCTCTTGTATGCATAAATAAATAAATCTTAAAAAAACAACAAATGTTGGCGAGATTGTGGAGAAAAAGGAGCTCTCCTGCACTGCTGGTGGGAGTGCAAACTGGTCCAACCACTATGGAGAGCTGTGTGGAGATTTCTTGACCTACTAAACATAGAGCTTCCATATGATCCAGCAATTCCACTCCTAGGTATTTACCCAAAGGACACAGAAACATCCATTCCAAAGAGCACCTGCACCCCTATGTTTATAGCAGCACTATTTACAATAGCTAAGCTTTGGAAACAGCCCAAATGCCCCAAAATAGATGACTGGATCAAGAAGATGTGGTACATATACACCATGGAGTATTACTCAGCATTCAAAAAAGATAAACACATGCAATTTGCAGCAACATGGATGGAGCTGGAAGGGATCATGCTCAGTGAAATAAGCCAGAAAGAAAAAGAAAAATACCGGATGGTCTCACTCATAGCCGGAATCTAGAAAACTTAAATAAGGGACCAGGAAAAAGAATAACTATAAGAAAGAAAATATCAAAATCAACAAACAACTGTGAACCAGAGACATTCTATGGGAGGTGGGAGACGGGGAAAGGAGGGCTTGGGGTCAAAATAAGGGGATTGTAATTGTATGGGGAATATAAAAATAAAATTTAAATTAAAAAAAGAAGAAAATCAATATCAGTTTAAAATAATAATAATAATATAATAAACACACAATTCATATGTCAGTATATGTGAGCATAGAAAAAGCTGGGATAACACACCAAACTATTATGAGTGAATATCTCTCTGGACATTGGGACAACACATGATTGTTTTCTTCATACTTTTCTTTATTTTCCAAATAATTTACAATGTTTACTAATTTTACAATTATAAAAGCTTTTTAAGTTGGATTGAATTAAACTACCTTGTTTTAAAATTTCTGTGAATGTTCACACTTAAAAATTCATCTCAACCCTGTATTTATTGTTCTAGATCTTAACCTCGAGGTGAATATAGAAATGTTCCCTATGTTACTCTTTATACCTTTCTGTATGTGAAGTGTTCCATAATACTGTTTCTAAGTTCCTGTAAGTAACTAATGACTGCACCTAAAGCAAAACTTACTTACTAGACAGTGACTTATTGTATTTTTCTAGAGAGTTCTAAAATGAGCCGGATTAAATGGCATCAAGGAGTCTGGGAAAAAACGGTTACTTCTGGCTCCAACAAACCTGACTTTATAGCTGTGTCTCCCAAAAAAAAAAAAAAAAAACATCTATTCAGATCTTCTCTTCTGAATGGCTATGAAACTTTGGACTGATGGGAATACCAAAATTATTACTACATAAACTTTCTAAAACTCCTAGGTCTTAATGCATTGGCCTAGAGTTGCAAAAATGCAGAGTTAATTAATATCAAAATCATTCTCAACGAAGCGCCTAAACAGGAACAAGGCCTTTGCTCTGAAATTCAAAGTAACTTGTACAGACTGAGTAAAACTGTTTAGCTTTAGATAAATCAAACTCCTGGCTGGGGGAGAGAGAACCTCCACGGAATGCCAAGGCAATGGAAGGTGGTCAAGCAACGAGTCAAGAAGTAAGTTTATCTTCCAGAGGAGCTTGAAACCTAAAAGTCCCAACTGCATTTTTCCCCTTGATAACAGCGCTCCTTGATAACACTTGCAAATATTCTCATGACTCCTTGTGCTTTCCTTCCCAGTGAGCTTCAGAGGAAGCAGTTTAAGGACGGATATGCTTTGTTCGGTTCTTTTGCTTACACTCCCTTTGCCCCGTCCTCCCGCAGCCTGAGATTCGCGAATATCTAGAGGACGGCGCAGACTCGCGGCGACAGTGGCCTGGACGGGCTTTGACCTCGCCCAGGGGCATCCGCCTGGGCAGCCGAGGCAGCACAACCCCCACAGGGCCTCGCTGGCAGGGGGCGGGGCCGTTCTTTCGATTGGTTGCTTGCAGCCAGGGTCAAGCGATGATTGGCCGCGTCTGGGAATGGGGCGGGGCTAAGACGGTTGTGGGAATTAGAACTGTGAAGGGTGGGGGACCTGCCTGGGTTCAAACTCCAGCGGCTGACGGGCGGCCAAGACCTGAGAGAACATGGCTCGGCCGTTCGTTTGCGTGCGGGCCCTGGCGACCGTGCTTCTGCTAGGTATCGCCACCGTCTCCGGATCGATGGGCCTGCGGGGCCAAGAGCATCGAGGGACGTCGCGAATCCCTTCACAGTTCAGCGCGGAGGAGCGCTTCACCATGAAAGAGGCGCTGAAAGGTGAGCCCGGGGCAATTTCGCCCACCTGTGCTCCGACACGGGTCCTTCTCTCCTCGGATCTCGTGGCTTCCCTCTCCAGCCGAAGAGGGTCCGCTACTCCAGCGGGAGCTCCACGCAACGCTCGGGACCCTTCCTGCAGCTCCTGCTGCGAGGTACCGCACCTCCCACCGCAGGACGGTTCCGCACCTCGTGCCCCGCACCGATTGCCTGTCTTTGGTGAGATCTGGCCTCGGGGACCCTGTGTTCCTTGCCGAACCTATTGACTTGGCTGTCACCCACCCTAGCAGTTTGCCTCCAGTATTTCAACAGCTTTTGGTTCCATTTTTAACTTTTGGAAGTTTTTGTTTGTGTTAAATCTCTGCAATACATTAAGGGAAAACTAAATGATCTTAGTCTTATCTACTGAGGAGGGAAATTGAGGTTTTGGTCAATTACAGGACCCCAGGACCCCACAGCAAGGAGCTGAGCCCTGGGTGACCACATCTAGCACCTGTTCCACCGCCTGGGCTCCAAAAATCTACAAGAAAGGGATGTAAGGGTGTTCCTGGGGTGTGGGGAGTTCCTAATTTCCTCTCCTAATTAAATGACATCTCTCCTTTTAACCTCAAACCAAGGTTAAAATTCATTTACCTTCCTAGCCTGCATGTTCCAGAGGAAAGTTTCTGTTGCATGCTAGATCCTGTAGATAATGAGATGTGTCCTCAACATTGGGCTTGGTGCCAGTCTTTTTTTCCTTTCATCAAGTAATTGCTTAAAAGAAACTGCCTGTAATTGGATATAAATTTCACTGTGGAGGCAGAGGCCTGGGAAGCAGATCAATGAAAGGGAAAGGGCAGTCACTCCAGTCTTCACACAGAAGAAAGCAGAAGCTACATAAAAACCTAAAGTAGGGCCTTATAACAATATAGCTTAGAACTCTGAGCAAGAGGTAAAATGTCTGATTTCGATCTTGGGGCTGCCTTTCATTTAGGCAGTTTATTTCCTCTTTCTCAATCTTAGCCTATGTGGTAGGCTAGAATGAAGGGTTAACCCTAAGCAAAAACCAGTCAAGCGGCAGGTTTTTTTTTTTTTTTAAAGATTTATTTATTTTTATACAAGAGCTGGGATACAGGCCAGAGGCGTGGGAGGGTGAGAGGATTCACCAGAGACAGAGCAGGGAACAGAACAGGCAGACTGACTGAAATACACTGCTGAGGGGAACAGTGGGCGAAATGGGAGAGGTCTGCCGCACCATGCAGGGTTGCTCCCTGGTCGGCCGGCCGGGCTCGAACCCGCACTGCAGAGGCTGTGGACAGCTTCATAGCGCTCCGCTCAACCCGCTGCACCACCAGGGAGGCCCAAAAACCAGTCAAGAAGTAAGTTTATCTTCCAGAGGTCCTTAAAACCTAAATGCCCCAGGTACATTTATTCCCACTGTGTTCTTTGATAACACTCTCAAATATTCTCATGATTCATTGTGTTTTCCCTCCCAATGATGTTTGCAATTGATATTGGATTGTTTTAAGAGTTTAACACTTTTGAGGCTCAAAAGAGTACACCAAGTCATAACTCAAGGAACTGAGACCTCTGGGTAGGACAGGTGAGATTTTTCAGGACAGAGAAGCTTGGGGCGAGCTTCTACATCTACTCTTCCCAGACATCATGTGCAAAAAAACAAAAAACAAAAAAAACTCCTAGCTTTGGCTGGGAGTTCAGTGAGTCTCTGGATGAGCCAGCCTGTGAGGACTAGCCCAGTGTCAGCACACAAAAACCTCATTCACAGAGGGATCCGGGACAGCGGGCTCCTTGGATTCATCAGCAGGATGGTGACTTCAGAGGCACGGTAAAGTCTTAGGGAGCAATTTAGAGCAGCTTCCCAATCAGAGTCAGGGGCCAAAATCTACTCCCCTCTACCACCTCCTCTCCCATCTTGGACTTTATTTTTCTTTAAGAGCCACATTAGCCTAAATGAACCCAAAGACCAGGGTTTCAATCCCAGTTCTGCTGCTCAATTCTGGACAATCTTGAACAGTTCACCTAACTTCTCTCAACTTATTTCCTCACCCTCAAATTAGGGACAGCAGCAGCACTTACTTTACAGGATGGTTTACCTTCCACAATAAGATAATAAATGTAAAAGAACTTTCCATGCATAGAGGACCATGGAAAAAACAAATGGTTGTTATCATCTGTAATCTTCCACCTCTGGCTGTGTGACCCTGACAGATGCCATCAAGATCCCAACAGTGTCTTTCGGCCCCGAGGAGTTCAACACTACAGCCCTCGCTGAGTTTGGAGAATTCATTTATAAAGGTCAGCCACAAGCTGTGAAACGTGGGTGGGAGAAGTAACCACGGAGACCTGATTCTTTTACAAGGTGATAGACATTTAGCTTGTAACTGACTAGATGACAGTCTAATTCCCACAGGTCTTTTTTTGTGTTTGTACATAATGGAGAGGGATAGAAAGGATCCAGGAACTAGGATGAAGGTAGAGTAGAGATGGCAGATTTGTCCTTTGAAGTTATAAAATTGGAGTTTGAACTCCCAACCTTTGCCCTCAGTAAATGTCAGTCAATAAACATGGTAAGTTTGATTATAATCAAAAGGTAGGACTAGGAATTCCTCCTTCCTGAGCAAGCCTTCGGAACTATACCCCATGCTCCTACACACACACACACACCCTCCACATCCAGACCTACACAACTTACATATTCCAACTACCCACAACTCCATCTTCATTGCTAACACATTTCTGAGTTTCTAGGCAATCCACACCTCTGAGCTATCAGAGTCCTCTCCCCTCACCCCTGCACCAGTGGAGGAAGTACACCACTGAAGAATGCGTCAAGGGGGAAAGGGACTGGGGACACCCCCTCCATGTGACACACTCAGGGAGAGTAGTGAGCCACCTCATGCACCAAATGATAAACAGGATGTTCACAGTTGTCAGAAATGGAGAAACTGACCTGGGGCAGCAGGTATCCTCCTCTCTGGAACAGGTGGATCTGGGACAAATCCCCAAAAGTCAGGCAGGGGCCAGGTTGGAAATTGTTACTAAATAGGAGATAAAAATAGGGTGAATTAGATAAGCTGACTGAGAAAGACAAAAGCATAATGACAAATGCATATTCGCCTTAGGCTGTTTTCAGGTTTTGCATTTCTACCACAGAAGTGGATGTGGATTTTTCCAACCAAGTCCAAAGTTAGATAAAAGTTCTTTCTCTGTGTGTCTAAGGCCACCCATGTTAAGGCCTATCTGTAACCTATAAATGACCCTGGAAACATCCATACAGCACACAAAAGTGTGGCCTTGTACTAGCCAGAGCTATCTTATCTCCACATAACACAGTCAGATTAGTTTTTTTTCAAAAGAAAAAAATGGCTTAGAATTTTTTTTTAATAGAGGCATGTTTTATTTATTTGTTTGTTTGTTTGTTTATACAAGCACTGGGTACAGTCAGAAGTGCGGGAGGGTGAGAGAATTCACCAGAGCCAGAGCGGGGAGCAGAGCAGGCAGAAGGACCGAAGTACACTGCTGAGGGGAGCAGCGGGCGGCAGGAGAGGTCTGTGCGCCATGTGGGACCCTCCTCCAGTGGCCAGGGAGCAGCCGGGGATCGAACCAGCACCACAGAGGCCGCGGGCAGCTTTGCAACCCAGCGCTCAACTGCTGCGCCACTGGGGAGGCCCAACTTAGAATTTTTGTTTCTTATAAGGGTTGTGTTTTGAGACACAGGGCAAGCTAGGGTTATTAGGCAGTTTCAGGGACAGTGCAGGAGGGGACCTCTGAAGAATTTAGGGAGGCTTCAGAGATAAGGACAACCAAGGGAATGTAACCAATTCCACTAGGAAAAACAAACATCCCAGGACCACAGACAATATTAATACTGTTAACGATGGCCCTGGTTTTCTTCAGGTGATAAAGGGAGGTGGAGACTAGAGAAATGGAGAGTGGTTTAATTTATGGACAACTTAGAAGGGCAGCTGTTTAACTTCAATGTAGAGATGCTCACCCGGAGGACTAGGCCATAAAGATAAAGTGACAAGCATGACAAATGGGGAAAGGGAAAGCTGTTAGATAAGGAATGTGAAATTCCCCCACTTAGTAAGTGTGAGACCCTCTGGGAGTTAACCAATCAGGGAGAGAGAGAGTAAAATTTAAACATAATGAAGGAGAGAAAGTATATATTGCCAACGTAATATCCCATACCGACTCGTCTTGGCCCCTCCCAGGTACCTTATACCTGGGAGTCTTTATTCTTTGTCTCTTTTCTTCCTCAATAAACTCTTCTTTCAAAGACAAGATTTGTCTCTCTCTGCTTACTTACTTCAAAAGGTCTGTGAATTCCTTTCTACGGTTTCGCGAGGCAAGAACTCGTGGTAAAGCGGCAGCAGTTGTTACACATGCCGGCATCAGTTTGATTCCAATAAATCTGGATATGGGCACCTACTACATTCACAATTTAACACACCCCTGGTCTGCATAACATGTACTTGTGATAATATGTTGTAGGTGAGACCAAGCCAGATTTTGAGCTACTGTCACACTGGTGGAGTCTTGATGTACATGGTAGTACAGAGTAATAGCACATTAAAATATGGGGAAGAGGAATTCCACAGATTGTCTGGGCCAATCAGGAATCAGAATGGTTTTGTCCCAGAAGGTTTCCTGAAAGAGGCTGCATGTTTTTAAAAATGAACATTTTCTATCAGATGTTAAGAAAACCAAAGGAAATTGAAACCCTGGTTTTCATTCCTTTGCCTCTAGCCTTTCCAACATTGTTCAAAACCAGCTTTATCCAACACGAAGTCGTGGGAGAGTACAGCCACCTCTTCACTGTCCAAGGCTCAGACCCCAGCTTACAGCCTTACCTGCTGACGGCGCACATCGACGTGGTGCCTGCCCCTGCGGAAGGCTGGGAGGTGCCCCCATTCTCTGGGCTGGAGCGTGATGGCTTCATCCATGGGCGAGGCACACTGGACAACAAAAACTCCGTCATGGTCTGAAATGCTCCGTTCCCTCTACCTTAGGGCCCTAAAGACCAACCCAGAGAGGGTGTTTAACTGACCCCCGGGAGACAGGAGCTTATGCTAGAAAGAACCTGGGCTCCCAGAGACCCAGGTTCTAGCCATCAGATTGTCATTTCCCTTTTCTGGAAAGTGACATGATTTCTCAACCATGAACCTGAGACTGGACTGGATGATCCTGAGGGACCCTTTCAGCTCTGACATTGATAACTTTATGCTTTTCTCCAAGCAGTAAATGTTTTATGCAGAGCTCTGCTTCCCACATCTAGTCCTCTACGACCTTTCGAGTTTGTTCTCTTTAAAGAGAGTGTCTGATCCTCCCACCAACCCTGATGCACGCACTGAATGTTTCTGATACAGGTAGTCCACTTACATAATAAGCCTTTCTCCGCCCTGGCGCCTCTGTCCCCCCCCAGGCAATCCTGCAAGCCTTGGAGCTCCTGGTGACCAGAAACTATGTTCCCCGAAGATCTTTCTTCATTGCTCTGGGCCATGATGAGGAGGTAGAGTTTCCTCACCCTGTTGTACCTCTCTGGGGACTTATGTGGGGGAGGGGTGATTCACCTTAGGCTGATTTGTTCTCCAGCTGCAGGGTTCCTGATATCAAAATCCCACACTACAGTGGTACATTTGTTATAATTGATGATCTTACATTGGCACATCCTAATCACCCAAAGTCCAGAGTTTCCGTTAGTGTTCGCTCTTGGTACTATATATTCAATGGGTTTAGACAAATGTATGGCATCTATCTGTCATTATGTTACCCTACAGAATATACCCACTGCCCTAAAAATCCTAAAAATCCTCTGTACTCTGCCTATCACCCTTCTCTCCCTTCCAACCCCTGGAAACATTTTAGAGTCCATAGTTTTGCCTTTTTCCAGATGCTATATATTTAGAATCATACAGAATACTGCCTTTCCAGAGTGGCTTCCTTCACTTGGTCATTAGTTAGGAATTTGTAACCAACTCCCTGGTAATTTCTAAGGCAGCCAGTGGGGCTGCCAACTATACCGTGGGAAACAGTGATATGATGGAAAGAGAACTCAACATGGCAATCGATAAATGTGTTTTATTTCCAGCAGTGCCCCTTTATTTGACCCAGCGCAAGTCACTTCTCTCTCTGGGCCCCATTTTCTTCATTTGTGTAATGAGACCAGTTGGGCCCTTCCAGTTCTGATATTCCAGGACTCGTTGTGGCAGGATCGTTTGAGTCCTGTACACCACCTTCCAGACGGAGACTGGGTGGGAATGTTCGGAGCCCCAAGCTAAGCCAAGCATTGCCTGTCTCTGTAAGTGTGACACCAGCTTCCATGTCTGCAGGTATCAGGGAAGTATGGAGCTCAGAAAATCTCAGCCCTGCTGCAGGCCAGGGGTGTCCAGCTAGCCTTCATCATGGACGAGTGTGGCTTCGTCTTGGATGGTTTCTTTCCCAGCCTCAAGAAACCCTTTGCTATGTGAGTAAAGAATCCTGTCCACCATCTTGGAAAGCATCCTCACCTCATTGGAGATGACCCTAGCCTGGCACTATAAACCTTGCTGAGATAGCTCTTTATTGTACATCCTTTGCTTTAATCAACCTGAAATCCAACCAGTTCTGGGCTCCCCCTTCCCTTTCTCCTCTAGTATAGATTTTTTAAAGCAGCGTGAAGCTGACTTTTTAGCCCACCAGGCCCTACACATGGGCCTGTGGGCCTGTGGGTAATTCAGAGCAGGAGGAAGTCAGGAGGGCCCTCTCTGATCCTTTCCTACAGGGTTTCAGTCTCCGAGAAGGGGGCACTTAACCTCAAGCTGCAAGTAAACATGACCCCAGGCCACTCTTCAGCCCCTCCGAAGGAGACAAGCATTGGCATCCTCGCAGCTGCTATTAGCCGGTAAGCAGCTCCTGGCCAGCTCCCTGGCCAGACTCAAAATAGAAGACCTTCTTTGAGTTTGAGAAGGCTAAGTTTTCCTCCCTGAAGCTAGGGAGGGAGACATGGTGGTGCTACAGGAAGACAGAGCCCCCAGTCGCAAGGCAGAGCTGGAGATCAGGAGAGGACCTGTCGCTACTTGTACAAGCATGTGAGGCCCAACAACGAAAGCTAGAGCAGCAAGCCAGGGCAGCCCAGAGCCCAGAACAGCATACAGAAATCAAACCTGGCAATGACTGGGGAAACTGTGAATTCTTCACCTGTTCTGGCAAGAAGAGAAAGATAAATAAAGGCTCTTAACTGTGAGTCTGTAACAACAGAATTCACCTCTGACCGAGTTTTCTTAGTAAAGCAGCAAGAAGAGTTATGTTCATTCAGGTAAATATTTAACTGCCTGCCATGCTCAAGGTGTGCCAGGTGATGGGCATGCAGTGATGAAACAACAGGTCCTCCTGGAGCTCATAGTTCTTGGGGGAGATTGATGGGTTGGGCTACAAAGTGGTAGGTGCATGAGAACACGGTCCACTAACTTGGCCTTGGGGGACGGACTCCCACAGATGGAGTAGAGGTGGTCCAGGTACTGTGAGATCTTGAAACGTCAGGGTTGGTGGAGGTGATGAGGAAGACAGTCTCCTCGCTCCCTCCTCTTCAGGACACTGATCTGTGGAGTTGCTTTCATCTCTAGAATATTTCTCTTCCAGCCTGGAGCAGACGTCACTACCAAACATGTTTGGAGATGGGCCATTGAAGAAGACAATGCAACTACTGGCAAATGAGGTATGGGAAAGAGTCTTTCATACTCCTGATCAGCTGTGGAAGACGAAGAAAGGGTAGCAGAGAAGTCACCTTAGGAGTAATGAAAGACCCTGTCACAGACCTGTCCTGCGCTCTCCTCGCCTACTTCCAGCCAGTGGCTGCACCGAGACAGAGGGATCTGACTTGTTCCCTAAGGCTGTCTGGGCTTCTCTGAGACCCTAAGACTTAACATACCTGCACCCATTGGCAGTGTGTTCCCACTCATCCTTGTGGCTACCCCCGAGGATCCCTGAGGCAGCTCTAAAGTAGGGAGACACCTAGGCTCGGGTATAAGCACCCTACTGTGCCAACCCCTCTGAAATCCTGCTGATCTGGCTGTTTCCCTTTCAGTTTCCCTTTCCTACCAATGTAGTCTTGAGCAACCTGTGGCTGTTTCGGCCCCTTGTAAGCAGGTAAAGTTCGCTCTTTCCTTCCCTAACTCTTTACCCTAAACCAACCTACCCCACATCAGTCCCTTCTCTTGACTTAACTAATCATCCCTCAACCACCATACATATGGATTACATCTCATTTGTATATAGAATATTCAGGAAGGTGGGTGATCCCCCAACCAGTTCTTTCTCCCCATTAGACAGTTCTTTCTCAGGTCTGACGTTAGTCCTGCTGCTTTAGGTTATTGGAGAGGAATTACATAACCAACGCATTCATCAGGACCACCACGGCAGTCACCATGTTCAATGCAGGGATCAAGGTAACATGGCCTGGTTCCTCCCTCATCCCTTTTCCTCACTGCTCACCCACCCTTCCATTTCTCTGTTTTGTCTCCTGACTCACCTTGGCTTCTCTGGTTATGATTTTAATAACAGGAAGGCCTGGCACTGATCTGTTCTGTGTCAGTTGGGTAAACTCAAGAACAAAAGTTCTAATGAGGTCCACAAGCCCTCAAAGTTGGCCCAATTGAAATTGGCCAGTTGAAATTGTCCAAGTTTTGTATAAGTGTGTTTTTGTGGGTATCCATACCCCTCTCAGGTTCTTTGGGTCTGCACACCCTCAAAAAAGCAGCCATTGTACCAGGATTAAAAAGGTGCTATTTAGGGCCTCCCCGGTGGTGCAGCGGTTGAGCACTGGGTTGCGAAGCTGCCCGCAGCCTCTGCAGCACTGGTTCAATCCCCGGCTGCTCTCCAGCCACCGGAGGAGGGTCCCACATGGCGCGCAGACCTCTCCTGCCGCCCGCTGCTCCCCTCAGCAGTGTACTTCGGTCCTTCTGCCTGCTCTGCTCCCTGCTCTGGCTCTGGTGAATTCTCTCACCCTCCTGTGCTTCTGACTGTACCCAGTGCTTGTATAAATAAATAAATAAATCTTTTTTAAAAAAAAAAAGAAAGAAAAGAAAAATCTTTAAAAAAAAAAAGGTGCTATTTAGCAATTGATTCCTGTGACATATTTTCATTTAACATGTTACTTATTCACCTAACATTTTGGTCATGTAGATTAATGATTTCTACTTTTCTTCTATTACCAAGGATCTCTTTATTATTTATCCTCATATTTTTAAAGATTTACCCAACTAACAAATTTAATGAGTGGTTAATGTCTTTTCCTCTGCTGTTACTCTGAGCTGAAAAAGAGACACTCACCTACCATTTAGAGAATTTGTAACATTTGTGATATATACAGTATTTAAACTGTACACATTGTCATTTCCTAGAATACACTAAATGTTGAGTGGTCTTAGTGAACAAAATTCTGTAGGGGGTTTATTTTTATAGAATTAAATTTTTTGTCAATTAGTTTTTTGATAATTTTTTTCCAAGAACAGCTTTTTTTAAAGATTTATTTATGCATACAAGAACTGGGGTACAGGTCAGAGGAGCAGGGTGTGAGAGCATTCACCAGAGACAGAGTGGGCAACAGAATGGGTGGATCCATTGAAATACACTGCTGAGGGGAGCAGCAGGTGAGACAGGAGAGGTCTGCTACACCACGTGGGTCAGCTCCCTGGCTGGGGATCAAACTCGTGCTGCAAAGGCTGCGGATAGCTTCACAGTGCTGTGCTTAACCCCTTGCGCCACCAGGGAAGCCCTCCAAGAACAACTTTTTAGGAAGTCGATCTCCTTCCAAATGGATTGCATGCTAAGGGGCATCTCATTTAAAAGGACCAAGCCACAGCCACATTAGTGACCCTGAACTTAGGCCTTTCTGGAATCGCGAAAGGAGTTAGGCCATTCCTAGTGTTGCCAGTACCACTTGCACTTCTTCAAGGGGTCACCATTCATCTAGATTATGAAGTAGCCTTGGCAGGCACTGGTGACCTAGGTGAGCTGGTAACCTGGTATATGTGAAAAGAGACTCAGAATGAATTCCTGGTATACCTGGAGTCCAATGTATGAACTAGACCAGAGCATTCCTCACCAGCTTGCCAGTGTCCAACAAAATAATAGCACCGTGTTCTTGCATTTGAATGTATTTTTATCTGTCCAGAATACTTTCACATTTGTTACTCTATGATCCCAACAGCTCTATGAGTATTATTGCCCCATCTGCCAGTTGAGAAACTGGAGGCACAAGGAGGTTATAGTTATTTAAAATCACATGGCTAGTTTGTAACAGCTCAGTTATCCCTTCCCTAGCAGAGTGCTTGTTACATCCACCAACTCAAAGAAAGATATGCAGTTGGGGAGTCTGTTCTCTCATGACCTCCAAGGAAGACATCTATAGCCCAGATCTCTTCTCTGATTAGTACTGGGTTCCTGGTCAAGCAAAGAACAGAGTCTAGTTTCACAACTGAACTTGGGGAAACTACCACCATCATCATCCCCCTCAGGTCAGTCATGCCTGCAGGGGCCCTGGGTACCCCGTCTGAGTCAGCACTAACACTAACAGCTGCAGAGGTAACGTAGGTGCCCCGCAAAAGAGCTCCCTGGGAAGATGTCTGCGGCCATGCACAGGGGCAGCAGCTGCCTGAGTGGTCACAGAGAATTCAGTCTTGCTCAGAGCAGCAAACCCCCTCCATGAAGACCTGACCTAAAGCAGAAACACACCGTTAGCTCTGAACATAACCACAGGTCCAGGGCCCAGAGCAGACAGGGACTGACTCAAATAATGAAGCCCTGAAACTCCCCCTACTGGTGCTATTTGGCATTTCCTGCAATGGTCTTGAGTTTGGCTCAGGTTAGCGTTTGTGGTTCTCTTTCCAGATAAATGTCATTCCACCAGTGGCCGAGGCCACCATCAACTTCCGAATTCACCCTGCACAGACAGTCCAGGAGGTATGTGCATAAGTTCTCAACAACTGGCTCCACACTGGGGAGCTGTGGCTCTCAGAAGTGGGTGTAGCTGGAATCCCAGAGCTAGCCCAGTGTCTCATCTGCTCAAACAACACTCTTTAAAGGCTTCCTGTGCATAGGACTTGGCTAGGATTTAGAGTTGGGTAGTAAGAGGAAAAAATTAGTAAATAATAACAATCAAGGCAGAAAAGGTAAGTCGTGTGCCTGAGATGACACTTCCAGCAACAGAGTTCCAGAGTCTGTGCATTTAACCACCACTCTCTACTAGAGTTGGAACAATTAGGGGTGAGCAGATTACATGGGGCCAGTTCAGAGAAGGAAACTAGGGGGTCAAGAAAATCTTTTTGACCTCTAGAAAATTGAGCTGGGACTTAAAGGACAAATAGGACTTTGCTAAGTAAAACATTTAGTGAAGCTAAAGAGTGGAATAAATTGGGAAGAAGTGATAGGAGATGGAAACAGAGTTGTAATGTGGGGATCAAGGCCTCGTATGTGGTGCTGGGGAGTCTGGGCTCTAGTTAGGTCCTCTGTCAGGCCTGTGGTCTGCTCAGATTTGCTTTTTTGCTGACAGTGCTGGTGGCACTGCTGAGAAAGTACTGGAGGAGGACGTGATGGTTTGAAACCTGCCGCAGCGCCTCAGACACTTGGCGTGAAGATCTGAGCAGAGGCTGTGGTTGTGGGTGGGGCGAGGACACCCCACCAGGTGTGAGATGGATGGGTTCCACAGGACATGTGTGTCTGGAGAGACAGGTGGGATGATGCCCAGGTTTTTAACGTGAGTGCCTTTAACCAAGACTGGGAGTTTGGGAAGAAGAGCAAGTTCACAGGGAAATATAATGGCTAAAAAGGTTGAGAATCTCCTATTAATAGGTAATTCTAGTACCTCAAATCTGGAGAAGGAACTAGAGATACCCGAGTGTTACTCACATAACTGAAACTTCTAAAGCCAGTAAAATCCCCCGGGAAAGATGTGTAAAGTTAGGAGAAAAAGAAGGCTGAGGCCAGAGCCTTGTGATGGTCCACTGTGAACAACAAGTTAAAAATTATTAAAATGAACCACAACAAGGGCTATGACAAAAGGGACCAGGTGCTGCTGGAGAAGACAACAAGGAAACAGGTATCATGTGGGTGTCAGTTAAGGGACCCTGAGGAAGTGACATTGAGCTGAAACTTAGAGTAAGAAGATGCTACACAGATGTCTGACATCTTTAGGAAAAGCCAACTTATTTAGACATCAGGTGGAGCTAGCAAGGGTAAACGTGACTCTTCAAAAAAATGATTGAAAAAAGCAGCCCAACGACTCCAGAATGAATCCTACATTCCAGAATCAAACAGGCCAGGGACAGGAGTCTCCAGCACAGGTCACGAAGAGACAGCCCACGAAGATTCTGGGGGCCTTTCTCCCTGGGTTTGCCTTCACAGGGCAGAAGGCACACCCCTTATTGTAGAGGTAGGAACAGGTTGACAGCCTGCCCAGAGTTACCCAGCATTCAAGAGAGCTGGGACCAGTGTGAGCCCTGAGTTCTGTTGCTTTTCATCCAGTGCCAACCTTTGTCCTCTCCCTGAGGGCTCATGGGACCAGGAAATCACTGAATTCCCCTCATTGGGCTTCTTTCCACCAGTTTTTTTCCAGGCTCATCCCAACGCCATGCCCTTTCCAAGGGCTGTTTTCCACCAGCTGGGACTTTCATCTCCCCAGGCACTCTCCCCTCCTCGCCCTGCCACAGTGGCCTTCCTTCCCGGGCTAGCTGATGAATCCCTGGAACCCCCAGGCCCATCCTGCCCACCTGCCCCAATGTAGAATGGAAAGCTCCATCATCCCGAATTCACTGTGTCCCTTTGACTGGCTACTCCTCTCCTGGTGGCTCAGCTGTGTGCCTCAGGGACACTCCCTGCTGTCCTGGGGGCCACGAATCGGAGCCTTGGACTTGATCAGTGCCCAGGGTCCTTGTCCTCCAAATGTAATGTAGGTTGGTCACCAGCACCTCCCTATGAAGAACAAAAATCTTCAGAAATTTAACAGGCTGCCACATGGGAGGAAGGTTTGCCCTGAATGGGCCGCAAGTGCAGCAGTAAGGCCAACAGAAGCTTCTTCAGGGAGAGTTTCAGAACATGATGCCTTTGGAGATAAGGAGGTCCTTCGAGGCTGGGTGTCCCCTTAGCTAGAGTTCTCTACAGAAGATTCCTCCCTCTTCCCTTGCCTCTCTCCGCCCTTCCCGCCCTTCTTTCCTTCCTTCCTTCTTTCCTTCCTCCAAGCCTGGCTTCTCAGTATGTGTTAGACAGTTTTTAAGCACTTGGGGGAAGGGTGAGCAGGACAGCCAGGATTCCCACGAACATTTTAGTGGCGACAAGACAGCAATAAGCAAGGAATCAAATGGGAGCAAAGTGATTTTTTTGAGATAAGCATCACAAAAGAAAAAAAATGATGTGTCACAGAGCCGGGGGGGGGGGGGGGGCAGTGAGCAGCTTTAAAGACAATGGTTGTCCTCTCTGAGGATGAATTTACACTGAGACCCAAAAAGAGGAGCAGGTGCTGGGAACAGCAAGAGCGCAGGCCCTCCAAATTTCACAAAGGTGAGATCCTGCAACGGTGTGTCTAGACCCATACTGTGCCCTGTGCAGTCGGTGCAATATCAAGAGAGATTAGAAGGTGCAGGAAGCCACGTCTCAGTTCATTACAAGGAAGACGTTCCCAGCCAAGAAGCTCCGAGTGGAGTGGGAGGTGACTTACAACAGTGGGCGTCCTCCCTCGGAGGTTTTCGAGCGCAGGCGACCCCAAATGAGCGGCCTTACAGCGGGTGGGAACTGCTCTCTTAACTCCGAAGGCCTTACACATTTCTGTACTTCCATCTGGTGTCCTTGCCCCAAGCAAATTTGCCGTTCAATTGAAAGGAAAATATGTATATACATAAAACAGAATAATCAGACTATGCTATAGGGACTGTAAGAGGTCAGAGAAATGAGAGAGAGTGTGCTCACCATAGCCTTTGAGGCCCCTCTTTCTCCTAGTCCCACCCATATGCCTCTGGTTTTTGCCCAGGGTGGTCCCGTTATTCTAAACAGGTAAATAACAGTTACCATTAATTGAGTGTTCCCCATGTAGCAGGCACTGGCTTCATAAAGCAAATGACGTGTTAATTCCCGTAGCAGTCACAGCCACCTGGCCAGGTAGGTGCCACTATTATCTGCATGTTACATGAATAAGCCCAAGGTCACTGGGCTCTCCGTGGCCATCAGAGGCACAAGGTCCAATGTCCCTCATCCACTTTTGCACAGGCCCCTCCATGCTCAGACTGCCTCTTGCCTCTTTTCTATCAGTTTCTCATCCTGCCTTCAAACTCTGGCTCAAGATCATGCCACTGAGGAGTTTATCTGAAATCAAAGCCACCCCCTTTCTGGCTCTACTCCACATCACCTCACCCTGTGTGCACAGAGGGAGCAGCAAACTGTCATCCTTGTGAAATCAGGAAGACCAGCTTCAGACAGGCAGCCTGGCAACGCTATATGCGTGACTCTGGGCCAGTTACCTCATGAGACAGAGCCATTGTTACTCTTATTGCTTCACCTCTCTCAAGCCCAGGTGTCCAACGCTACTGATGCCTTTCAAGTTCTCAGTACTAGAAATAACAGCAATGAGGCAGACCCAGGAACTGTTTTGAGTCAGAGCCTGGTCTAGTAGCTAGTGGGAAACCTGGGTCTTTCCTTGTGGCCTTTCATGACGCGACCCAATCTGTGTGCCCTCCTCAATTTCTGGGACCAGAAATCTTCAATCTGGGGTGAGGGACAGTATTCAGGACCCCAACCTACCTTAGAGTGACTTAGACTATTAATATATAGTCTTAATAGTTTCTCTACCCACTGGTGGTAGAGAACATATTAACCACCACATATTACCCAGCAGTGGGTAGAGAACCTATTAAGACTATATATTAATTCTTGTATAAAAGTATTTGGGACATAAATGCTAGTGAAATTAGTTATGATACATGAGTGTCAGAATATCAGTCCCACAGCAGGGAACTTGATTTGGCTCAAACAATGATTTCTGAACCTGAAGTAGGAACTCTCGTTTCATTTCCTGGCTCAGCTCCTAGTCTACTTGTAGGGGACACTGACCTAGAAGCAATATTATTGAGATAATACCCATGTTTAGGTGATCCCCAGCTGTTAGACACCTCTCTTTCTCAGCACAGGCAGTTCTCCAGCTGGTCAACTGCTGGTTTGAGGCTAGTGCTGGCTTTTCCGGGGTAACTGGGTGGGTTTGGAGACCACTAAGTCAGCTTCTTTTCCCACGTGGCTCAATGCAACCTGATTCACAGGGTCTGGTCTACATCCTGCGTGGAGCTAGGACTTCTTGGATTCACCTCTAGACTAAATTTTCTAGGAGCTTTGTCTGGAAGCTTTTCTGAGGCAAAGAAGGAAAGCTTGAATACTGGTCTCCCAACTCCTGATATTTTGTCTTTGTCAAACTCACCTTCTGGCTTCGAGTGCAGCTAGTTACAAAAAGGAAACAAGGATTCCCAGAGAGGGGAAGTGTGTGACCCTCTCATCACCTGTCTGAGACTCTCGGGGGTGAAGTGAGGTCATTACATCTCTCTGCTGCTTCATGATGGTTGATTCCCACTCAGCTATCTCTTCTGCAGTTTCCCCAGCTCATGCCTCACGACACTGGGGAATTTTCCACTTCCCCAGCTGACTCATGATTGAGGCATGCCTCCCAAACATTCGACCTAAATCAATGCTATTGATTGCTTTCCAGGAAGGCCCAGCTCTTCTTTCTCCTCTGTCTTCGGCCAGACAGCAGAAATTGAGGTCCCACTGCTAGTATGAGTCTCCTGTGACCTCTTGGCTCTGTGTTGCTAGAGAAATCAGGACCATCTAAACATAGTGATACTTGGAGAGCCGATCAATAAGAAATCGAATTGCTTTTGTTTCCTTTCTGAGGTCATTGATCTCGTCAAGAACATCATGGCTGACGACCGGGTCCAGTTCCATGTGTTGAGTGCCTTTGACCCCCTCCCCATCAGCCCCTCCGATGATCAGGCCTTCGGCTACCAGCTGCTCCGCCAGACCATACAGTCCGTTTTCCCTGAGGTCAACATTGTTGCCCCAGGTAATGACTTCATCAGCTGCGGCTGGAGGGAAGTAAGGGTTGGAACTGTTTCCCAGCTAGTGTCTACTGCTCCACCCCCATCCCAGCTGTTCAGCCTGGAAACAGCTGGCTGCTTCCCCTCCTGGTGGGACTGGAACTGTATTTTCCCCTTGGAGTGGAAGTGAGAAAGCAAACAGGAAAGGAGCAGAAACAATAAATTAGGTCAGTCAAGCCTGGGTCCTTGCTTAACCTAGGCCAGCCACTCTGGCATGGAGCAGATCTGCCCAGATTCCCTCCTCTGGGGGAGAAGCAGAAGCAGCAAAGTTCCTCCGGGTCTGAGCCTCTGCAGGGTAACAGCTCAGCAGGCAAGATCACAATCTGCAGCTCAGAAAGCCCTTCCCAGCCTGTACCATTTGCATTACTCCCTTCATCTCTCTCAGCCCAGATCAGTCCCAGCAATAGTGCCTCTAGGCCCTTTCCCCAGCGTCCAGCATAACTTCCAAATCTATGCTATAAGGACAGTGGTATGCAAATTTAAGACTGCAAGAGAAACATGTTAAAACTTATTAACACTTAACCAAATCTGGAGAGAACTCTGGAATCAGTGCTCTCGGTTTTTTGTTTTTTGTTTTTTGTTTTTTTTTTAAATCAACTTAAATCTGACCTATTTCTCAGGAAATTCAAACTCAGACATTACTGAGGTTTCCAAGTACCTCCACTGTCCCCACCTTGAATCAGGCCCTCAGGGTCTAATGCAGCAACAGCCATTGTCCTGACCACAAGGTCACTTCAGATTGGAGATTTCCTCTGACTCCCCGGCCTGTCTTGGGAGTAGAGTCTTTGGCTCCAGACTAAGAATATACCAGAATACATTCCCTTGAGGGCTGCTGCCTCGTAGGTCCCCGCCATCCAGAAACACTTGTTTCACAGACACAGATTCTCCCTTAGCTCGCAAAGGCTCCCAACCCTACCCTCTCCCTTCTGGGGCACCCACCATAACCCCCTAGTGGGGTCAGCTGTTACAGAAAAAAGATAGAAAAAAAAAATAGAAATCCCCAAAGAGGAAGGGCAGTCATCCATTTGAAAATGGAAAATAAAAGTGAAAAATGAAACAAATCACAAATTGCCATCTCAAATCATCCCACCACACCTTCATTGATGCTCCAGGGAGACTTTGCCCAAAGAACATTGTTGGGGGCCAGGGTGCCAGGAAGAAGACAGTCCCAGCCCCAACTGAGGGTTGAAGGGAGCTGCTGCTACTTTTGGGAGAGTGATCTAGAGTTTTCCAACCCTGAGGTTTGACTCTTAAAGGCAGAGTCATCCTTCAGAGGACAAGAAACTCAGGAAATTACATTCTACTTTAAAAGGATTGTATTTTATAGCAGTTAAATTCCCAAGAGGATGTTTATTTATGACCTAAGGAGATACAGAAGAAAACTCAGGCAATAAAGAAGCAACAGTTAGAATTCTGGATGTCTACATTTCAGAAATAGTCCAGCTATGGGTGTGAACACATTGGCCTCATGGGGAGAAGACACTTAGCTTTGGCCCATTCAAGGGCTAGCCCACTGATGCCCTTGGGAGGAGAGCCCATGTTACCAGGTGAAATGAAGTTTCACTAACATTTTGAGAATGGGAAGGGTAAGGGGCGAAAATCCACAACATCAGGCTTCTACCTGCAGGCCCAGGCTCCGCTCTGCCAGGCTCAAGGGGCCCCTTGACCCCGCCAGCCCACTTGGTATCCCCTTGTGTTGGCAGCTCACTTCCTACAGGGTCTCTCCCACCTTGCCACTTTCTACTGCTGATCTTCCCTCTCTAGGCACTTGCATTGGCAACACAGACAGTCGGCACTACACAAACCTCACGACTGACATCTACCGGTTCAACCCCCTCTACCTGCAGCCTCAGGACTTCAGTAGGTGAGTGAGTGGAACAGCCAGGGGGAAAGAGTGGATGCATCTGACCTGTCCTTCTCCTCTCCCAGTCTCCTGACAGTCCACAGAATGGGGGGAGACCAGGGTTTGTACCAACTAAAATGGGCACATAGTAAAACCCAACTGGTCAGCTTCCTCGTAGCCAGAGTCTTGCCACTCCCCAGAATTTGTGAAAATTGACCGTGTTTTACAGGCGTGGCCAACATGATTGGAGAGAACAGGTGAAGAGACTTCAGTTCTAGTCTCAGTTTTTTCTCCTTTTTTGGAGAGTGTGAACCCTCTGGATCTCATTTTCTCACCAAAAAGGGAGACTCCAGAGTTCTTGATTACCACTCAGTGAAATGCAGACACACAGGCAGTCAGAGATGGGCTCATGCTTTGACTTCTCAGAAGCACACCATAGAAACTCAAGAAATTCATCACGTATGCACTACCATTTTATGACTTCTTCAGCCAATATGGGGGAATGAGTTCCGTTTACCTCTGCTCCTTACCATTTCCAGTCCTGGTTTCCCTGCCACAAGTTGAAAACAGAATGAAAATATTTGAAGATGAGCTTAAGAATGGATTTGATGAGGTGGGGGTGGAGAGTAGCTTAGGAGGAGGGGAAGAGAACAGGTAGCTTCTCTTTATTCTTCCATCTTTGATATTACATGTGTGGGTTGATTGATGTGTGTTTTGGGTTGGGTTGGGTTGGGTTGGGATGGGGTGGGGTGGGGTGGGGTAGGATGAGGTGGGGTGGGGTGGGGTGCGGTGGGGTGAGCTGAAGAAAGTTGGTGGGCATGGAAACTGAGTGAAGTTCCCAGAGGAAATGGAGAATGAACCCCATAAGTACCCTGGGCAGTTGCCCTTCCTATCCTGTCGGACCCCTAGGAATGTGAGGACAAGATAGTGCTAGCTTAGAAATAAGTCTAGCTGGGGACTCTAGCCTAAGAAAAAGAGAATTAGAAAGATAATTTTCCCTCAGATGAGAAATTATAGAATGGATTCTGGAGTCGGAGATGAATATGAACTCCCCAGGAGTTATTTTATTCTCTACCCCCACTGTTCTTTGCCATGGACGTGAACCCTAGGAGATGGCCAACACGTCATATGAAACCTCACTGCATACAAATGGTCTCCCCCACCCTGCCCATTTCCTACCCCTCAAGTTCAAAGGCTTCAGGGAGGTGGGGAGGGAGTGTTCTGGAATAACACTTGGAATAACGCAGTTGTGGGCTTCTCTCCCCCCAAATCTCTTTCCTTCAGCATCCATGGACTCAACGAGAAAATCTCAGTCCAAGCCTACGAGACCCAGGTGAAATTCATGTTTGAGTTGATCCAGAATGCTGATACAGAGCTGAGCCAAGTTCCTCACCTGCATGAACTGTGAGGTTGACGGGCCAGGATTACTCCAGGGGGAAGTCAGTGCTCTTGAAACTTTTCATCAAAACCACATCGTTCACCCCTAAACTCACAAGAACAAGTCTGAGGTGTGAGGGAGGAGTGTGGGAATCTGGCTTCTCCCTTGCTCTTAACTTCACCCCTCAGCTGGCTGGCTTCACTGCCTTCCTGTCTCTAGCCTGGAGAATTGTCCTGTCTTGTGCTAGTTATTCAACTGTGCCACCCTCCAGCCCTTGGCAACTTAGCAACTGCAGACTTGAAAAATCTCAACCAGGTTTTGCTTAGTTAAAGTATTTAGTGTGTTCCTGCTAGATGACTTTCTCCATGGCTTACACATTCTTGCTGTAACTTCCTTTCCCCCTTTTCTCCTCTTCAGCCCTTCAACTGCTTCTGTCTCTTTCCTCTCCTGCCCCTGAGTCCCTCCCCCGCCCCCCAACTTTATTCTCTATCTGGAGCAAGAGTTCATCAAACTGTGGTGTTACCATAATTGTCACAACTGGTCAAATAAAGTGACATGTGCAACATGTGACTGACAGGTGAAACTGAGGCAGGGAACTTAGAGGGAACCCAAGGCCCCTGGTTCTGGAGGAGGGAGCCTTAAGAATAAAATGTCTGGGGCCTCCCCTGGTGGCGCAGCGGTTGAGCGCTGGGCTGCGAAGCTGCCCACAGCCTCTGCAGTGCCGGTTCGATCCCCGGCCACCGGCGAGGGTCCCACCTGGCATGCAGACCTCTCCTGCCGCGCCCCCTGCTCCCCTCAGCAGTGTACCTCACTCCTTCTGCCTGTTCTGCTCCCCACTCTGGCTCTAGTGAATTCTCTCACCCTCCCGCACTTCTGACTGTACCCAGTGCTTGTATAAATAAATAAATAAATCTTTAAAAAAAAAAAGTTTAAAAAAAAAAAAAGAATAAAATGTCTGCTTTCAGGTTGCTTCCAAGGGCTCCCTGTGCTTCGCTCTCTCCCCTGCTCTGTTTCTAACACCTGTGGCTGATGTACTCCTTACCCACCCCAGGAGGCACTAGTCTGTGGCAACATTTCCCTGACACACCCTAGGACCTGAGTTCCCAAGACAAGGGCACTTTTGGTGGAACCAAGGCCTGCAGGGCCCTGGCATCTCGTCCTGTTCAGACTCACCAAAAGGAAGTGGAGGGGGTGGCGGCTGGGCGTGGGAAGGGGAGGATGGGAAAGGGACAGGCTGGGAGGCTCTGTCCTGGCCGGTGGGGCATGAGGAGGGTCAAGCTGGCGTCCCTTAGGGGTCAGCAGAGCTCCCATCTTTTCTCCCTGGAACCACACCCTGAGGAGATCTGAATCTGCTCAGCACCTGCCAGGTAGGGGGCACTGGAAGCATTTCTTGGCTCAAGACTTTGTGGAGTACAAGGAAGTTTGAGTCAGAGGGAGGCAAGAGGAAGCGGAGAGAACCCCCTCATTTTTCCCACCTCAGGCAAGGATCTGCCATGCTTCTGCTCTTTTTCCCTCCTGACCACCCTCTGGCCCCCTCATGCCCATAATTCCTCGCCTCCCTCCCCTGGATATTCCTTAGGACTCAGCCTTAATAGAAAGTGTTATAAATATATTGTAGGGGTTATTGGAGCTTTTTTACAGCTTCCCCTAGCATTCCCACCTTTCTCACCCTCCCTTTTTTTGCCAATTCTATACTTTTTTTTTTTCAAGTTTGATATTGACATACCATTTTATTTTATTTTTTTTTAAATAATAAATTTTATTGTTATATTCCCCATACAATTGCAGCCCCCCCATTCTGACCCCAATCCCTCCCCTCCCGCCCCCGCCCCCCAAAAAAGTGTCTCTGGTTCATAGTTTTTTGTTGATTTTGATTTTCACTTTCTTATAGTTATTCATTTTCCTGGTCCCTTATTTAAGTTTTCTAGATTCCTGCTATGAGTGAGACCATCCGGTATTTTTCTTTTTCTTTTTGGCTTATTTCGCTGAGCATGATCCCTTCCAGCGCCATCCATGTTGCTGCAAATTGCATGTGTTTATCTTTTTTGAATGCTGAGTGATATTCCATGGTGTATATGTACCACATCTTCTTGATCCAGTCATCTATTTTTGGGCATTTGGGTTGTTTCCAAAGCTTAGCTATTGTAAACAGTGCTGCTATAAACATAGGGGTGCAGGTGCTCTTTGGAATTGATGTTTCTGTGTCCTTTGGGTAAATACCTAGGAGTGGAATTGCTGGATCATATGGAAGCTCTATGTTTAGTAGGTCCAGAAATCTCCACACAGCTCTCCACAGTGGTTGGACCAGTTTGCACTCCCACCAACAGTGCAGAAGAGTTCCTTTTTCTCCACACCCTCGCCAGCATTTGTTGTTGCTAGTTTTTTTAATATGTGCCATTCTCACTGGTGTAAGATGGTATCTCATGGTAGTTTTGATTTGCATTTCCCTGATGGCAAGTGATGTTGAACATTTTTTCATATGCCTGTTGGCCATTTGCATTTCATCTTCAGAGAAGTTTCTTTTTAGCTCTTCTGCCCATTTTTTGACTGGATTATTTTCTTTGTTGTTGTTGAGTCTCATCAGCTCTTTGCAGATTTTTGTGATCAGTCCTTTATCATTAGTGTTGGTTGCAAAAATGTTCTCCCAGTTGGTGGGGTTTCTCTTTGTTTTTGTTATTGTCTCTTTTGCTGTGCAGAAGCTCTTTAATTTGATGTAGTCCCAGCTGTTTATCTTTGCCTTCACTATCACTGCTTTGGGTGATGTGTCTGTAAAGATGTCTTTGATGTGCAAATCACGTAGTGTTTCGCCTATATTTCCTTCTATATATTTTATGGTTTCAGGTCTTATGTCTAGTTCTTTAATCCATTTTGAGTTGATTTTTGTGTATGGTGTGAGGTAGTGGTCAAGCTTCATTCTTTTGCATGTAACGACCCAGTTTTCCCAGCACCATTTATTGAACAAACTTTCTTTGCTCCAATGCATAGTCTTTGCTCCTTTGTCAAAGATTAGTTGACCATAAATCTGTGGGTTTATTTCTGGATTTTCTATTCGATTCCATTGGTCTGTATGTCTGTTCTTGTTCCAATACCATGCAGTTTTGATGATTATGGCTTTGTAGTATAGTTTGAAGTCTGGGAGTGTAATGCCTCCATTCCCTTCTTTTTTTTTCAGGAGAGCTTTGGCTATTCGGGGTTTTTTGTGATTCCATATGAATTTCATCAATAATTGTTCTATTTCTTTGAAGAATGACATTGAAATTTTGATTGGAATAGCATTGAATCTGTATATTGCTTTTGGAAGAATGGCCATTTTAATAGTGTTTATTCTTCCAATCCACGAGCAGGGGATGTCTCTCCATTTCTTTGTGTCTTCTTCTATTTCTTTTAACAGTGTTTTATAGTTTTCTTTGTATAGGTCCTTTACCTCTTTTGTTAGATTTATTCCCAAATATTTGATTTTTTTTTGTTTCAATAACAAAAGGGATGTTTTTTTTGATTTCTTCTTCTTCAGATTTATTGTTTGTGTATAGGAAGGCTACTGACTTTTGCGTGTTGATTTTGTATCCTGCCACTTTACTGAACTGATTGATGAGTTGAATTAGCTTTTCTGTGGAGTTTTTGGGGTTCTCTATGTATAATATCATATCGTCTGCAAATAGTGATAGTTTGACTTCTTCTTTTCCTATTTGGATTCCTTGGATGTCTTTCTCTTGTCTTATTGCCCTGGCTAGGACTTCCAGTATTATATTGAAAAGCAGTGGTGAGAGTGGACATCCTTGTCTTGTTCCAGATCTTAATGGAATTGCTTTCAGCTTTTCACCATTGAGAATGATACTGGCTGTTGGCTTGTCATAGATGGCCTTTATGATGTTGAGGTATGTTCCTTGTATCCCAATAATTTCAAGGGCTTTTATCATGAATGGGTGTTGCACTTTGTCGAAAGCTTTCTCAGCATCTATTGATATTATCATATGGTTTTTATATTTCTTTTTGTTGATGTGTTGGATAACGTTGATTGATTTTCGGATGTTAAACCATCCTTGTGCCCCTGGAATGAATCCTACTTGGTCGTGGTGAATTATCTTATGGATACATTGTTGGATTCTGATGGCTAAAATTTTATTGAGGATTTTTGCATCAGTGTTCATTAGGGAGATTGGCCTGTAGTTTTCCTTTTTTGTGTTGTCCTTGTTCGGTTTTGGTATTAGTGTAATGTTGGCTTCATAGAACGTGTTTGGTATTGTCCCTTCCTTCTCAATTTTTTGGAAGAGTTTGTGAAGGATAGGCACTAATTCGTCTCTGAATGTTTGGTAGAATTCATTTGTAAATCCATCAGGTCCTGGGCTTTTGTTTTTGGGGAGGTTTTTGATTACCATTTCAATTTCGCTAATTGTAATTGGTCTGTTTAGGTGTTCTATTTCTTCTTTATCTAGCTTTGGGTGATTGTAGAGTTGTAGGAATTTGTCCATCTCCTCTAGATTGTTAAACTTGTTTCCATATAACTGTTCATAGTAGTTACTGATTATTCTTTTGATTTCTGCTGTGTCCGTTGTGATTTCTCCTCTTTCATTGATGATCCTGTTTATTTGTGCTTTCTCCCTTTTTTCCTTTGTGAGCCTGGCTAGGGGTTTGTCTATTTTATTGATTTTTTCAAAGAACCAGCTTTTGGTTTCATTGATCTTTTGGATTGTTTTTTTAGTTTCAATTTCATTTATTTCTGCTTTGGTTTTTATTATTTCTTTTCTTCTACTGGTTTTGGGGTCTCTTTTTATCTTTTTGAGTTTGAAATCTGTTTTATCTGATATAAGTATAGCTGTTCCTGCTTTCTTTTTTGGTCCATTTGCTTGTAGGATTGTTTTCCATCCTTTAACTTTGAGCCTATTTTTATCTTTTGTAGCTAAATGTGTTTCCTGGAGACAGCAAAAGGTTGGGTTTTGTTTCTTAATCCAGGCTGCAACTCTGTGTCTTTTTATTGAAGAGTTTAGTCCATTTACATTTAGAGTTAATATTGATATGTTAGCATCTGTATTTGCCATTGTGTTTGTCTTTCCTTTGATTTTATTTATTTATTCTTTTAATAACTTTTTTTTTTTGGCCTTCTTTCATTGTTATTCGTCCCTCTGAGGTTCTGGCTTTAGGACTCCTTGTAGTATTTTTTGGAGTGGGGGTTTAGTTGCAATGAAATTCCGGAGTTTCTGTTTGTCTGGGAAGGTCCATATTCTTTCTTCAAAGAGGAAGGAGAGCTTTGCGGGATAGAGTATTCTTGGTTGGCATCTGTTTTCTTGGAGTCTGTTGACTATGTCCCTCCACTCTCTCCTTGCCCGTAGTGTTTCTTCGGAGAAGTCTGATGTCAGCCTGATTGGCTTTCCTTTGAATGTTATCTGTTTCTTCCCTCTTGCCAGCTTCATTATTTTTTCCTTGTCCTGGATTCTAGGGAGCTTTACTATTATGTGTCTTGCTGTATTTTTTCTTTCGTCGTGGAAGTTTGGTGTTCTTCTTGCTTCTTGTATATCAATTTTCAGCTCCTTCTTCACATTTGGGAAGTTCTCTTCAATTATCTCTTTGAATATTTTCTCTGTTCCTACTTCTCTCTCCTCTCCTTCTGGTATTCCTATAACTCTTATATTTCCTTTCCTCATGGAGTCAGATAGTTCCCGAAGTCTTTCTTCATTCTTTTTCCTTCGTACTTCTCTTTCCTTTTCTGTTTTGGTTCTTTTTATTTCTGTGTCTTCAAGAGCACTTATTCGTTCTTCCATTTCATCAATTCTGCTTTCATTGCTTTTCCCAGAATTCTTTAGTTCTTCCACTAATTCTTTGATCTCCTGCATTTCTTTTACTTCCCTCTTTAGGGACTCAATTTCATTCTTCTGATCGTTGATTATTTTTC